GCTCTGTTCTAAGAGGTTTATGTGCATTTCGATTGTTACAAAAATTCAACCATGTGAGATAGAGAGTATTATTGCCCTCATTTTACAGATGAGACAATTGAAGCATAGAGTTGGTGGGATCTTGTGCAAGTATCTTAACATCTCCTCACCTGTATGTGCCATATTCTTATTTAAGTCCAACTCTTCCACACATGACCCCATCCTTATTAGCTACTCAAGAATATTGCTCTTGAAATCGTGTTTTTTTCTCCTGCATCATCAGTTTTTTCCTTTCCACTGGATTATTCCTATTGGCATACAAACATGTTATTTCTCTCTTCTTAAAAAAAAACAAAAAAAAAACTCAAACACAAAATAAAACAACAAAAAAACCTCTTGATCTCACTTTCCTTCTAGCTGTTGTCCTGTTTCTTTTCTTCCTGTTAGTGCAAAACTCCTCATCAGTTGTATATATTAACTTTGTCTAACTGTATTCTTCCTTTTCTCTTGAATACATTCCAATTTGGTTTTTACCCTGCCACGCCACCAAGATTGCTTTTATCAACATCACTAGTGATCTTGTTGTAGGATGTTGTGGGGAAATACAGAGATAAATAGAATAAAATGAAGGAAGGACACTATGCTTAATAACAAAAGCCTGGAAACATTCAAATATTCATTAATAAATTGTATTACTTCCATATAATGAAGCATTATGCATTTGTCAAAAAGAATGGAGAAGATATCTTTATACTGCTAGGGTATATGAAGTGTGAAAACAAGGTGCAGGAGAGTATAGTGTACTACCTTTTATATAAGAAAAGAAGGAAAACAGTGTGTTATATTGTTAAAAAGAAATGAAAGGGAAATCCAAAATTGTAGGGAAAGGGGGCAGAGACAGAAACTAAACTTTGTTGAATTTACCTTGTTCTATAGTTTTTAGTTTATTACCATGTATGTTATATATAATTAAAAAACAAAACAAAGTTAAATATAGGGAAAAAAATCCCCAAATGGAAACACAAGAATTTAACAATGTCAGGTTGGTGACTTAGCTACAGGAATTATTTTAAGTAACTGAAACACAGTATTTCGACTCTGTATCCCTAGTGGCATGTATGCTAAGGACAGAAAAAAGCCACAAAAAATACTAAACTTTATTCGCTAATTCTTAGTAACAATCTTGTTATTTTGAGATTACATGGAGGAGGATAAAACAAGTAAGTCTGTTTGCTAATGGCTTGGGTTTATTAATGTCATTGGCAAGCAAGATTTTCTGGGTGAGAGAAGATACAAATAAAATGATAACTATATTATGTAATGGGAAATGTCAATATGAATTTAGGGTATAAGTTTCTCTTTCTAAAAAATACATATTTTCTAGCTCTGCTCATTGAAGAATCCTAGAAGTAATGATAAGTAAAGCACTCACAGTGCTCAGATTTTGGTGTTCAGATACCATTTCACATTAAAAAAAAAAATCAAGGCTCCTGGAGCAATGGCTATTCCATGTCTGGGGCAGGAAATGTGGGAAATGAACCTGGGGCATTTTGTGCTTGAAAGCAAGGAAGCTATTAGAGATTGACAAGTCAGGTCAAAATGACATAGGAACCAAGTGAAGGAACAGCTACTGCTCAAAGATGGTACAACTTGAGGATTTAAAAAAATGATGGCAGTACATTGAAAAACAAAATGCCACAAGCTCATAATGACACTTAAAACCCCAAACTCATTGTCACTTCTGGAGGTTGCTTGGGTAGTCACTCTGAAGACTCATAAAAGGAAACACTGTGGATCTTTGGTACCTTTCTTATATAGACTAACCAAATAGTTGATGAGGAAAAGTTCTTTTAGAAGAATCATAGCTAATAAATACAGAAGGAATTATAGAATTAGAAAAATAATAGTTTTCTCCTTCTTATGAAATAATAGATTTAGGCAGTTCAACCTTAGGTAATTATTAATAATAAGGTTAATGGGAACTTTATAAGGGATAGATTAGGCTGACAACATCTGAACTTACTCATCAGTGTTAACATCACTAAAAGTTGATTAGCCAATCCACATGTAGTACTCTTGTCAAACAAAAAGGAATCTGACTCTAATTGACCCTCTAGAATCTTACTACATTGTATAGGAACTTCAGGAGCATGCTACAATACCAGGAGGATTCAGTTAGTCAAAACAGACTAGGAAATTCTACAAGACAAACAACATGATTTCTTCAACAAATAAATAGCATGGGAAAAATTAAAAGGTAGTGGAAACTGTTAAAAGATTAAAAGAGATACAACAACCCAATCTTATGTGTGAACCTTGTTTAGCTTCTGATTCAAACCATCTCTATAAAACACTTTTGAGCAAGTGGGAAATGTTGAGCTGCACTGGATATTACATAATAAGGAATTATTTATTTTGTTGAATGTGGTAACATTATGGTTATTTAAAAAACCCTTAGAGATAATACTAAATTTTTATAGGTAAAAAGAAATGATGTGTGATATTTTCTTTAAAATATAGTACTTCTAAAAAAAAGAAGAGAAATGGGAGATAGAGGTAAAAAGAATAGCAGAATGTTGGTAATTATTGAAGCTGGGTACTTGGAGTTTTTGAAGAAGGGGGTTCATTTTATTCCTTCCACTTTGTGTATGCCTGAGAATGTTTATAAAGTAAAAAAAAGTTCATAAAAAGAGACTAATGTCCTTTATGTAGAGTGATGATGTGACATAGAAGCACCTATTAATTAAATATTTGGTCTGGTGAAAAAGTGATAGTAATAGTTTATGATTGCCGTAATACTTATTAAACTTCTTTAGGTTCCAGTTGAAGTAATAAGTACATTATAGAAATTTATAGAGCATTAGATAATTCATTTTGGCCAGAGGTTAAATCATTCACTATCTACTTAGCATTCATCTTATGTTTATATAATTTACTATTCAGTGCCTGTAAGAATATAGGAAAAAACAAACTCAATTTCTCCTACTGTACTCTTACAACCTTCAATACCAAATAATTCTGTGACCTTTGTTCACCAAAATGTGTGGAGATTTCTCCCCTCCAACAAGCAAGCAATTCTACAGATACTTTTCTAGAGTACACCATCTGGGTATCCTCTAACTGAGTTCATTTCTGACACTGTCTACCTGGAGATAGCATCAGATCCTACAGGTTGAGGGCTCAGTCCCACAAGACTTCCCCAGTTTAGATGGCCAGTTGCGAGCATAGGTTGTGGCCTGTGCTTTTTCCAACTGTTTATAAATCAGGGTTTCCATGACCCCTTCCTTGGGTTCAATTAATTTGCTAGTATAGCTCACAGAACTCAGGGAAAAACTTTACTTAACATTTACCTATTATAAAAGATATTACAAGGACACAGGTGAACAGCTGGATGGAAGAGATGCATAGGAGGAAGTGTGGCAGAAGGGGTGTGGAGCTTCCATGCCCTCTCTGGGAGTATCACTTCCTGGGAACCTACACCTATTCCACTATCCTGGAGCTCTCAGAACTCAGTTCTTTTGGGTTTTTATGGAAGCTTCTGTAGGTAGGCATGATTGATTAAATCACTTGCCATTGGTTTATCAGCTCAGCCTTCCAGGCTCTTCTTTCTCCTTGGAGGTTGGGGAGTAGGACTGAAAGTTCCAACTCTCCTTTGGTTTTCCTGGCAACCACCCCCATCCTGAGGCAAACTAGTCCCCTTATCCACCAGTTATTTTAGTGTACAAAAGACGTCATAAATCCAGAGAATCCAGGGCTTTTAGGAACTATATGGCAGGAAACATAATGCAGACCAAATATATATATATATTGCAAAATACCATAGTGCTTCCATATTTATATGTATTGATTGAAGTTTCATGACTTGTGATATATATTTTTTAAAAGCTCCTGTATTATGTTTGGTTGTTTATATTTAGGAATTTGTACATGTACATTTTAAGAATAGCATGCTCCAAAATGCTTCCAGGGAAAACTAAGATTATGCCTAATAGTTAAGTATTTTGGAAGGATAGCTATATCATTCCCTTGGTTGGCTTTTGGTGTGAACCATGAATCTTACTCAGTATGACAATTTCTGTTATGGCTTTTTAAATATAAGACCCTTCTATAGTAGCCATGTTGAATATATATTCTGCTTAAAAATTGTTATAGTTGTGGCTTGTATTTGGCATATTTAACAGTTTTTGATAGTTAATATTTGTTTTAATAGAATTCAAGGACCAGTTGCCTATTTCTCAGTTATGAAATAGGCCTTATGGGCACTATATAAAATGGTTTAATTTCAGATAATGTTAGGAGTGTGGACATTTAGCAGATTTACTGTCCGTACGAAGTATGACAGAGATAACCATAACATATTTCATATTCTGGGTTTCATATAGAGATGACAACTGAATCTCTGTGTACTTATGTTGATTTCTCTTTACTGTGTGTTTTTGAAAAATGTACAAAGGTATTTTTGAGAGTGGCAGGAATAATAAAAACTAGAATAGTTATGTAGAGTAACTAAATCCAAATGGCTCTTGAATTAAAACCAATCAATTGTTCTGCATGATGTTAGTAAAGTAGGAAATAAATCTTAATTATACATTTTTGATTAAAATACTAAGAAAATAATGCAAAATAACTGGTGACCTTGAAATTTTATCCTAGTGTTGACTATTCATATAAATCCAATCACTTTCTCATTTTCATAGTCTTCAAGATTTTTAATGATAGTCATAAGGGCATTGCATTATAACTGAAAAGACAAACTTATGATTTACCTTATTTCCTCAAGCTGTTTTTTAATATAGTAATTATCTGTATTTTATTATAGCTACAGTAGATATGCTACCATTTGCTGAGATCTTAAATTTCTTAAGTGGAATTAGGAAAAACAAAAATTCTTAAATTATGTCAATTTCTGCTTATTTGTGCCTAATGGGAATTTTATTTTGCCTATATTCAGGCATGCTATTCCCAGCCTTCATTTTGTCTAGTTGGAAAAGTTGAATTCTTTTCTTTGTCCCATTTTTTAGTTGACGAAGGATCAGAGATTGGTGTATTCGGGCAGACTGCTTCCCGATCATCTGCAGCTGAAAGACATTCTCAGAAAAGTAAGCTTTTCTACCACTATTTGATACCAGATACATTCAGAGTGTGAGAGGAGATATGCTCTGAAGTTTTATCCAACCAGTTCAGTTTTTAGATACTTAAAATCAACCCCTAGGGGTGGCATAACAGGTTAAGATAAATTAGAAAGCAAAGACCATGATACATTCTGATTAGTTTAGGTAACTGTTATATATATCCATCTGACAGCTAAATCTGAGGTAGTATTATATATTTGTGTGCAGGTATTGTCATCTTTTGTAAGAAAACCCTATTGATTTATCAGTAGTGCAGGAGTGGAATGTTCAGTAGTGGTGAAGGATTTTCATTGATAATCTTTCCTCTGGATCCCTTTTTAACTAAATTGTATGACGTTTTAGTACAAACTGCTTGGGTTGGAAGTTTAATTTCAGGACAGGAAATAGAGTGAACCCCAGTTGGTCCTTCACTTAGCCAACTGATGCTCAGAGCTAAAATATACTTCCATATAGTATTTTGACAAAATCAGCTTGAATGCTGGCTATTTTCATGGCAGCTTTTAGCTGATGTTCATTTGTGGAATTTGTACTTTTACAGCTTTTTAGGATTTGAAATGCTGCTTTTTGTTTGTGAATATAGCAGAATTGAATAACTTTCATGTTTTGTCTTTGATCTTTGTCTTAATGCTTAATGTTGTTCTAGTTATTCCTATCTGATTTAGAAGATCTATGTCCTCTCCCATATGTTTATGATCACCTGTGGGAAACTGAAAAAAAAAAATCTTAGTGTATTCGTTTTGGTTAGCTAGTTGACATTTTAGCTTTGCCAGTGTGACTTCTTGCTGTCATTTTGTTTTAATTATATGGTTTCAAATTGCTAAAATGGCTTAATACCTATCCCCTCTAAAATAGCGGATTTCACAGCAGATTTTTTTTTCTTTCAATAGACTTTATTTTTTAGAGCTGTTTCAGGTTAATAGCAAAATGGAGCAAGAAAGTACAGAGATTTCTCATGTGTTCACTGCCCTCACACATACACAACTTGCCTACTATCAGCATCTCTGACCAGAATGGTACATTTATTATAATCAATGAACCTACATTGACATATCATTATCACCCAAAGTTTATAGTTTATGTTAGGGTTCACGCTTGGTGTTGGACATACTATGGGTTTTGACAAATGTTTCATGACATATTTCCATTATTATAGTATCATATGTAATAGTCCTAAAAACCTCTGTGTTATACCTATTTGTTTTTTCCATTTTTGTGCTTAAACACCTTTCTACTATCTGCTCTTGGAAATACAGATATATTTATTATTTTAACCCAAGGATAGCTTGAATCTGCACATGAATACTTTTTAAAAGGCTTTTGCTGCCAAAAATGGTTTCAGACCAAATGACTTAAAATAAAAACTGCTCCAAAGAACTGTTGCATCCCCAAAATACAAAACATTTTGAATAATATGTTTACATTTTTCATAGATTTTTGAACTATTTTTGTTAAAGTCAGTGTACCCCTTTACATTTTTCAGGTAATTGCTGCATTAGCTTTCCCTGTTTAGTTATATTGATAAAATGTTTGACAGAAACATTCCCCAAAGGTGAATGGATACTGTGAGTTGTGATTTATAAACCTTTTGAAAATAGGTTTCTAAGGATAAACATCTTATACTTGGATGCTTTTTTATATTCCATATTCAGAAGCTAAGGGGACATTGTGAATCAAGAGTGTCTTCAACCTACTTTGCTAGGCATACCTGATGTAAAGTTGTCTCTGCAGCCTTTCCTTAGCATTCTAACACCTGTAAACTAAACTTTTCTCTAAACTTCTAAAGCAGTTGCAGTTTGTGCTTCTCAGTTTCATGCAAAAGACTGTTTTATATTTCTTTATTGTGCTCTGATGCACTAGTCTGATCTCTTAACAATATCATGAGCCACTTTAAGGAAGGGACTGACTCTTACCCTTTCTTGGATTCACCTCAGAATTAAGCACAATTCAAGGTTCATGGTAGGCAGTTGATCAATTTGTAGTTTCTAAGTAGCTTTGTTTCCCTTTCTTACCACTGGACATCTTTCTTTTCTTCTTTCCCCTTTTTCTTTAGCATCCTATTTTTTTCTTCTTAAATTGCTGACTCATCCTTCATTCTTTTCTGTCCTCCTTTATTTTCTCTTTCCTTTCTCCATCATTTACGAGCTTAATGTCTAAGTAAAAACATACTTATGATCTCACTAAGCTAAAATGCCAACTCTAATCATTATTTAGAATATTTTCCCTCAGTCATAGTTATAGGTTTTTGGAAACACATGAAATATTTACAGACTATAGTGCCAATATATGCTTTATATCTGTGTAAATGTTATAGGTAAAAATAGTTTTTGACTTAAAAAACAGTAAAAAACTATATATTACCTTGCTAAAATTAAGGCAAATGAGATTATGATGAAGTTATTTGAGTTTCTTTTATAGTTGCTAAGTCTCAAGTAATGGAAATATTTTCATTATTTAAAGTTTGTGGGCCTAAGCTTCAAGGTGACTCTTAGGGTTCTGATATTAAGGTGCTAGCTAGATGTTTTTGTATTGAAATAATAGATTGTGTTGACACAACTTCACAGCATTGATTGCGTCAAGGCTACTTGGTATGCAAATAATAATTTTTTAATATAGCAATTGCTGAGTATTTAGACCATTTTCTAAGCATGAAAAAAACATTGAATTCAGAAGGGCCTTAAATATTAAAATGGAAAACATGTCTGCATATGATAACATTTTATTACTTATACAATCTCTATGCTGTAAAGGAACTTAAATTTTGAGTTAAGTGTTTCAGCTTAGCTACTGGCTTTTTGAACTGTACATTTTCTAGTACTACCCTTTAAATGTAATCTTCTTTAATTTTAGCAAGATGAGTATCATATGGTTCATCTAGTATGTACTTCTCGGACTCCTCCTGGTTCTCCAAAATCCAGCACCAATAGAGAAAGTCGTGAAGCATTGGCATCTAGCAGCAATTCTGTGAGTTGTTTTGGGAGGAGTAAATATTGAAGTTTTATGATTATCTTTTTTTGCCTCTAAAAACTAAATGAAAAACAGAAGAACTAGAACTTACGGGTTTTGAGATCGGGATTTGAAAAACTGGAGTTTAGGCTTTTAAAGTTTGTTTTTAGAAAACCTAATGCACGGTTATCCCTTGAAACCTATTTCCTGTAACTTATAATTTGCTATATGGCAAGTCAGTAATAAATTCAATCTTTAGGAGTTTAATTACTGGAATACTTAGAAAACAGAATTTTTAAAAATCTGTACCCCCATAATATGCCGAAATAAAAAAAAAAAAAAGAAAACAGAATTTTGATAGGATTATATAATATAAATGCTCAGGCCAGTGAAATTTCAGAAATATTTAAGGTGTCTAATATAGAATATTTTATTCAAAGTAGATTAAATTATTTATATTTTAAGTAGCCTATATCTTCTTGATGTAGATTACTAGGTCAAAGGTTTTGTTTTAAACACAGTAGATTGGTGCATACGTTCCAATTGCAGGGGGAAGAATTACTTAATGTACTCTTCTCTTTCAGACTTGGGTATTTGTCTCTCCCTTCTTACTTTTCCATCTGCTTAACACTGTTTTGGAAATATTTATAACAGTTAAACTTCTCAACTTAGACATTTCTACAAATTTTAAAGACATTATCACCAATCCTTTTAATATTAAGTTACTTTTGATTTCCCGTAAAAGCTTTATATGATACCTCGGGCAAGAGGATTGGGATGAGTAGTAGTGGGATGAGTAATGATTGGGATTGGGTGCTGTGTCTCACACCTGTAATCCCAGCATTTTGGGAGGCCAAGGCAGGAGGATTACTTGAGTCCAGGAGTTCTAGACCAAAGGGGGCAACACAGTGAGACCCCCATCTCTACAAAAAAGTAAAAAAAGAAAAAAAATTAACTGGTCGTGGTGGCATGGCCCTATGGTCCTAGCTACTTCGGAGGCTGACACAGGAGGATCTCCTTTGAGCCCAGGAATTTGAGGTTCAGTGAGCTATGATAATCCATTGCACTCTAGTCTGGGTGACAGAGTGAGATCCTATCTCTAAAAAAAGAAAAAAATAAAGAATTTAGCCAAAACTTAAAGAGAGAGGCCAAGTGGCGAGTGGCAGGGGTGATAACTGTTAAGAGATCTTCGAATAGATACTAGCTGTTTCTTTAAGAAACTAGACCCTCCAGTTGCTATATTTAATTAGTATAGTCTCAATGGTAAGTATTTTCTAGTACCAGCCATGGAAATTTAGCTTACATTAAACTGAAATTTTCTTTGTCAGAACACCCAAGGATCTTTGTGTGGTTCCTGTATTGGCATGAGAAGGAAAAACATTGGATTGGCACAGTTTTGTTTATAATCTTTGGACATAGTTTCATTGCTCCAGTTTTTGTTGGGAAATAACCCTCTGATTTAATTGACTTGGGTTGCTCAGCCATGATTTTATGTCATTAGTGTACATACTTGGTTTTCTCAGTATGTGAAAAATATCCTATTGACAAGATTATATATGAAAATCTAAAAAGTATCAAAGGAAAGTTAAATTGAACTTCTCTTAATTTTTCATGGCTCAGAAATTTCAGAGGGATTTGAAAATGTCTTAAAAATCTAATCATGAAAAATTATCTAATAAGGTCAGAAATCATTAGTTCTAGACACTTTAAATTGTGCTGCCAAATGACTAGTTAGGCCTTTCTTCTATTAATCACGTTAATGAGCACCATATTATGATGGCCCATTTAATGAGAAATCTTGCCAAAACAGAAGCTGTTTCCAGTTTATGTCCCTAAGAATCAAACTGCTTAATAAGATATTTCTTATCTATTTCGTGTGAAGTAACATCCTAAAGAAAGTTTTGGCTAGTTTTGCAAAGGACTGGTGTGCTTGGGACCTTGCACGTGGCAGGACTTAGGATGGTAGACACGCAAAAAGACATCCTGTCAGTAGGAAGGCTGCACAAGTAAAATACAAGTTTAACAAACTTGGAAGGATGTTAAAATAATATCATACTCAGCTTTTTAAAGTGGAAGAATTATTAATATAATTTATATAACATAATTGTGTATTAAATTTAGATAGAACACTGGACAAACTTAATATTTTCAAAAAGCAACAAATTGGGATGGTCTTCAAGGAGTTACATTGCTTAAAGTTATTGAATCTGTTAGTTACTGACATCATTTGATCATGAGAATTTAAAAGTTCTGATTGGTATCTTGTTCATTTTGTTAAAAAACAATATTTGTTGATGGCATCTATAAATCAGTTGAATTTTAGAATTGAATGGAATCTTGAAAATCTAGTCTAATTTTGTTTTACTCCTTGTTAACGTCAGAGGTAACAGTAGATTCTATCTAGATCTTTTGTTACCCAGCCTGTTCCTCTTAGTTTAAACCAGTGTGTTACTGATAGCATGTTATACAGTATTTGGCACATAGTAACTATTTAAATAATTCAGTAATTAGTACCGTTTATTGAGCACTTTCTGTGTGTTAGGTATAGTGAGAGGAGCTTTGCATACATTAACTTAATTGTGTAAAAGGAGCTTTTATGCATTAATTTAATCCTCATAATTTAATATGCTATTTTGTATAGAATTCCTCTGCTTCTCAGCCTTTTCTAGTTGAAAAATGGAATACTGTTGGTTAATTAAGCAGTTTTGACTTTCTGAACTCTAATTTAGTCTTAGCAAAATTAAAATATCTACCTTTTATACTGGACATAAGATTTAAACCAATAAATTTCTAAAATTTAGTTATTTTGCAGAGGAATTTCATGAATACATTTTTAGTAATATGTCTATAATTTCACAATTATAATTAATTAAATCTCCTTAAAAATTATTACACTTTTGTTTGTAGAGTTCAGATCATTCAGGATCAACAACTCCGTCATCCAGTCAAGAAACCTTGTCTTTAGCTGCTAGTTCTTCCTCAGAAGGATTGAGGCAGCGTACCCCTTCACAAGCACAAACCAACCCCGCACAGAGTCATCAGTTTCCATATGTAATGCAAGGGTAAGTGAAATTGTGGTAGCTGTGGATCATAATTGGGGCCTCCTAAAAATGAATTACTTTTGATTTTCACTGTAGCCCCTTTGCAGTAATTAAAGTACATTTGAAGTCTATTCATATACCTGATTTTATATTGTGGGAGCTAGAGGGTTAAGGAGAGTAGTGCTTTTGGAAGCTGGTTGTACATCAGAATCATGTAGGGCAGTGCTTTTGAATCTTTGATGTTTCTACTAATCACCTGGGATCTTGCTAAGATGCAGGTTCAGATTCAGTAGGTCTGGTGGTGCCAGAAATTCTGCATTTCTAACAAGCTCCCAGGTGATATTGATGCTTCTCATGCTTGGACCACACTTTGGATAGCAAGGATCTAGGTATCTAAATTTTTTTTTAACTGAGTTTCATTATAAATCTACTCAATTTAGTTTTCAGGGGAGTGTGTGGTACTTAGAAAAATATAGGGCCCAGCAATCTGTTTTTTAAAAAGTTTCAAAAGTGTTTCTGATCAGCCAGGCTTGGTAACAACTGAGGTAGAGTAAAACCACATGTATTACAAGGATATGCCAACTATTGCATGTTATTCAGAATCTTTGTTATATTGACAGTTCTGTGTAGGAGTTTTCTCAAGAAACTTGCTATGGCCACTCTATATAGCAATTACAGCAGCCTCCTTAGGTTATATAATTAATTCCAAAGGAAATGCAACCAACAGCTATAGGTAAAGCACATCTTTAGACAGCTCGGAGAGGGATCTTAGAGAATCCCGGGGTTTGGACCTGGATTGTATTTGAAAGCAGAGTATTTTACTGGGATACTATTATTTGTTAGTTTTGAAGGAAAGGAAATTTGAGTAACAGGTGGTGATAACTTTTCTGTGCTGTATATCAAGTCATGGGGCTCCGGTGTGTGGAATCAGCCTGGATCCACAATGATGGGACTGGAAATGAGAAAATGGTTAGGACTCCATTAGCGTACTCTAGATGAGGTAACCAAGGAGTAGCCGTTGACTGCTATGCTAAACAGGATAACATAAACATTCTGGTGCTTTTTATTTAGAACTTTTAATTTAATTCAGTCCTTAATATAGAAAAACAAAGCTGAATATATAGCAAAATATAAGAAAACTCATTTGTCTCATATTTCTTGAATGTGAAATCTTTTCTCTCAAAATAAGTATTTAAATGAGTTTTGTTGTAGATTTTTATAAGTACTTATAAAGTACCTATGAAACTGTTTTTGTTTTCAGAAAATGATTACTATAAACGGAAACTTATTTATAAAAAGCAGTGTTCTCAGGGTTTACATGATGGAATAGTAGCTCAAAATACTTTCTATCTTATGACAGTGATTCATTTCCTTTCTTTTTTGCAGAGTAAGACACTTCAGTTCTTCCCAATTTATACAGAGTGATTTTACTTATTTGGTGGTAGTGGTGGAAGGTGGGAGTATTATAAATAAGCTTGAGAGAATATGCAATGACATGTTAACAGTGGTTATCAATGGGTGATAAGATTTTTAACTCTTTCTCATACTTATAGTAAATATATTTTGTAATGAACTAAACAAAGCTTATAAGATTGCAGGTCTTCAGAATAAAACCATAGATATTTGGGGAAAAGATTAATAATTTCTCTAAACTAGGCTGTTGAGGAAATCAATAAACATGAAAGACAAAGGCATCCAGCTCTTAGAAGTATATTAAACAGATTAGAATATCTGAAATAGGGTTTATCTTGCCCGAAGTGAGTGTTAAATTGGTGAGCAAGAAAACCTTTCAAAGATATTTGAGCTTGACATAGGGAATCTATTACTAGATTTAAAATACTTGATTTTAAATCAAGAGGGCAGTGGATTTTAGTGATTGCACAGATTCTGGAGCTAACCTGCCTGGGTTTGAATCCTGGCTCAAGTCTATTCACTGACTAGCTTGGGCAAGTCTCTTCCCTCCTGTGCTTCAGTTCACTCATTATCTGGGGGGTAAGAGTATTTATCTTACAGGATTTCTATGTGGATTAAAAGAGTGTATGTAAAGTGGTTAAAACAGTAACTGGCATACGGTGATGTATTAGCATTTACTTATAAATACATTTGTCTTTATAAGTGAATGTTGTGCATTCATTTAGCAAACAAATTTATAGATATCTGTGTGTCTCATACACTGAAACATTCCAATGAATGAATGCCAGTGTTAGGAAAATAAGTCTTTATATTTGGAGAAAGTACTATGTGATTTATAAAACAATTGATGTGAAATTCAATAAATAGGTATTTATTTCAGCAGTGAACATGATTTAACTTAATCTCATTAGTTGTCATTTTTTACTAATGAAAATTTTGTCTAACATAGTCTTAGCCTTAAATGTCTTAAGTGTGGTAATTTAGTGACCCTGAAGAACTCACCATTAAAATAAAAAAAGTTCTGCTCTCCTTTTTAAAACTTTAGAATAGTTTATATTTAACTAGTCTGCATGTGTTTTCTACCATATAGGTTAGTATTCTTAATTTTTAGTGAGCTTGCTAAAACTGCTAATTTCTGGTCCCTACTCCCTGAGGTTTGAATCACCAGTATTGGAGTAGTGCTCAGGAGTCTGCCAACCTAACAATACTTGGGAAGTTCACATTGAGAAATTCTAATGCAAGTGATTATTTGCCTATCTAGCTCTTGAGACAACATGAGAGGAACAGAGCAATATATGTACTTCAACACATTGACCGTCCATTTACAAAGTCATATGTGTGAGTCCTGACTGTTTTTGGACTCAGTTGTGCTGTCACATTTATTTACTTTAACTCCAAAACTTGCTGGTTGGCTTATAGAATACCCAGTTTTGTACCTTAAGTTTTTCCCTCTGAAATATCAACAGCCTTATTTTACAATAAAACTGAAAACCTACTCATTGTACTCTTCTATATTGTCTGATTTTTTAAGTAAAAATTGCTTGTAGCCTACTACTCAGAAATAATCATTACTAACATTTTTATAAATATCCTTCTATGTGTACACACTTTTCAATGTGTACTTTTAAAATAAAAATATACTATTCTATTTTTTAAACCTTTTTATAAAACATAGCTTGGATATATTTCCAGATCAAATGTAAAATCTATAACATTTAAGGTCTTTGTGAGTCTTCATTATGTAAATATACTAATTTGTTCATACTTCTGTTGATGGAGAATGTATTAGTTGGTTTTGCTGCATAATAACCTCAAAATCTCAGTGGTTTGCAATAGCACACTTTATTTTTCTTGCTCACAGATTTGTTGGTTACTTGGGACAGCTCTGCTTTAGGCTGTAGATTGGGTTCAGGTCTGTTTCACGTTTCTCCTTCTGTGTGGACCAGTTATTCCCCAGCGTCTGTTCTTATGGCAAATGATAGGAACACAAGAGGGCAGGCTAACCGTTGAGCACATTTAAAGCCTTGTGCATGTCACATTTACTAATATTGCATTGGTCAAAGCAGGCCACATGGCTACTCTGAACAACATAGGGGTAGGGAGAGGTATCACAAAGTTATAATTAGTGCTGTATTGGTAAATTCTTAACAGCTGATATTTCTGGGGAAAAAATAAAATCCTGGATTTGTAGCATTTCCTGATTTCTGTGGTGTATGTACTCCCACCGCGTCTCAGCAATCTGCTCTGATAAGCAGCAGGAACCAGGTTAGCCACTGTGTGGCAGAGAATGTGTATGTATCTTGTTACACAAGAGTGAAGAATTTGGAGCAATCTTCTATCATAACTTTTGCGTTAATTTTTTCCCTACTAAATATCACCATAATCAACATTCTTAAATGTGCTTATGTATTAGCAGTTACTATTTTAGGGTAAATAATGAGAAGGGGAATTTCTGAGTCAAAGTGTTCTTAAGACTTTTTGAGGCTCTTAGAGACTATTGTGAAATCGCAGTAAAGAAAAGTTGTACTAGATTACTCTCTTAAAATTTTTAAAGAACCTGATTTCCCGTAACTGTACGTATATGAACTTGCCAGTGTGATAAATTAGAATGGGCTTATTTTAATTTGATACATGATTAAGAGGCATTCTTTTTGTTTTTTGAGTTGCTTATTTGTTGGTGTGTTGTTATATTCAAAAATTCATTTGTGTTCTTTATCTAAAAGGGTATTAATAATTAATACTTATTAAGCATTAGCACAAACTAGGTGTTGTATTAAGCACTTATACATGTCTTACTTCATTAAATTTTACACAAACTCTGTGATCTAGGTACTATTTTCTCTTATTTTATGGATGAAGAGAATGAGGCTTAAAGATTAGGTAGCTTGCTGAAGTTTGCAGAAGTGATCAGTAGCAAGACTAGAATTCAAATCCATATCTAACTTGGAAGTCTGTATTCTTAGCAGCATTGCTGAAGGGACTCTATTTTTGTCTATCATTTGTTTGTTTGTTTCTTTTTCCTTTCTTTTTTTTTGAGACAGAGTCTCACTCTGTTGCTCTGGCTGGAGTACAGTGACATCATCATAGCTCATTGCAACCTCAAACTCCTGGGCTTAAGTGATCCTCCTGCCTCAGCCTCCTGGATAGTTGGGACTACAGGCATTCACCACCATGCCTGGCTAATTTTTTTCTTTTTTTAGTAGAGATGGGGTCTCATTCTTGCTCAGGCTGGTCTCAAACTCCTTACTTCAAGTGGTTCTCCTGCCTTGGCCTCCCAGAGTGTTAGGATTACAGGCATGAGCCACCACTCCCAGCCAAACACTTTTACACTCATTTATTCACAGAGCCCAATGTGATTCCTATTTTATAATATGGCAGTTGAAACCCAGAGAGGGGGAAAAAAACTGGTTTAAGATCACAGAGCTGGGAAGTGGCAGAGCCAGAATTTGAACCTGGGCATTCTGGGCTTAGGGACTTCTGGAAGCTGCTTAGCCACTAAGCCACACTGTCACTTCCTCATTTGTTTCAGTATTTTTTCCTAGGCTGTCATTTATATTTTGACTTCATTTATAATGGTGGCCCCCACCCCTCAACCCCCATTCAAAACTTTTTCCTAGTCATATCTAATGGTCAGATTTTAAGTATTGGTGACTGTGTGAACACATCTGTTTGTATGAATCCCCTATGTCTTCATTCAGTAAATGTTTACTTTAGAATCTCTTGTGTGCTAGGCACTGAATATGGGAAAATGAATCCTATACTTACCCTTACTGGAAGTAGGTCAGACAGGCACATGGATTACCAAATTTGCTGGTACGCTATCATGGTCTTGAAAGTGCTGAGGTAGCCTGAAGGAGGGAGTGACTGTTTCTGCTGAGACAAGTAGGAAATATCCTTTTCTTTGCAAATGGTTTTCTTTAATAATAGTTGTAATTTTTACTGTGTTGTTAGCCTTACATGTTTTCATTTAATGCTGAAAGATGAAATTTACAAGTTACTAGATTAGTTACTTATAATTAGTATTTTATTTTCAGAGTTTTCTTGATGTTCATATGAAATTGTTCAATATATACTTATTTGCTAGATGCTAGAGATAATAATAATGGATCAAGCCCATTCCTTGTATTTAGGAGCACAGAGTCTAGTCAGAGAGACAGGAGAGTAGGCAGCAATTTCTTTTTTTAGTTAGTTTCTAAGAGGTAATACATGTGCATGGTACCATTTAAAAAATGAGTAAGTATACAAGAGTTTCATTCTTGTGTCTTCTAGCTACCCAGTTGCCTTCTTCCGAGGCAACCATTATTATCTGTTTACCCTGTGTTATTCCAGAGGTAAAATGTGCTTCCTTAAGTGTGTGTGTTCATTTGTGTTTACATGTGTGTATATTTTAACACAAATAATAGCATTTTTTTCTGTACACAGTAGTCTATATCTTGTTTTTTTTTTTACTAAGTATATTAACAGTTGTCCCACATACAAGTACTATCCCATTCTTTATTAATTACACACTGTCCCATTATATAGATTACTGTAGTTTAAGAAACCAGTCCCTGTTCATGTATATTTAGGTTAAACAGTCAATATTTTTTTTTATTCATTGCTTTTTTAATTTTTTAAAAAACTTTATTATACTTTTTAAACATTAACAAAGTACAGACAATATTACTGTGAACCCCAGTGTACCTGACACCCAGCTTCAGCAACTATTAACAGACTACCATTTTTCATCTAGCTCTGCTTACTTTTTTTTTTTTCCTTGAGCCGGAGTTTAAAGCAAAATCTAGATATACCATTTTATCTGTAGGTACTTTACTGTGTGTTTGTAACAGATATGGACTTGAAAAAATCTTAATCACAATACCATTAGAAAACTCAACAAAATTAAAAATTCTTTAATATTATTTAATGCCCAGTTTGTGTTCTGTTTTCACTGATTGTCTCCAGTGTCTTTTTATAGCTGTTTTGATTGAATCAGTATTCAAAGAAATTGGCATATCGCCTTTGGCCAATGTTCCTTAAGGTGCTTCTAATTCCCTTCTTCTCCCTTCTCTTTTTACTTTATACCTTTTCTGTTGTTTTAATATTCTATGTTTTTTTTTTTCTTTTCCCACAGAGGTCTAGATTTGGCTGATTATGTCCTTGTGGTGGTGTTTAGCATTTTCCTCTATCCCATATTGCCTATAAACTGGTAGTTAGATCTAGGGCTTGATTAAACTCAGTTAAGATTCAACTTCTTTTTTTTAAGGAATTCTCTATATTTGATGCTATATCCTTGTATCATATCAATAGGCACATAAAGTTTGGCTATTTCACCTCTAGTCATGCTAAGATTGCTCAGTGGGTTCAGGTGTTAGTAGCCTAATCCATCCATCATAAAGTTCTTTGTCAACCTTTTAGTAGACATTGAGGATCACCGACTAGACCCATTATTTCATCTGTTATTGTAAAATTGTAATTTCCTAACTCTATCATTCCTCCTTCACATTTGTTAACTGTGCTTCTTTTATAAAGAATCTTTTTTCATCATTTTATTATCCTGAAATACAATCCACTCAAGAAGGGCCTGATAAATACTGGATTTTTTACCTTCGTCAATTTTCAGAGTAATAATTTGGTGCCCTGGTAATCCCAAAGGTGATGAGTGAGTTTTTGTTTTTTTTAGAGTATTGGTGTAAACTTATGGTTTCTAATGTATTTGTGTTTCTGTGTAATGTCTACTGAATGAATGTAGTCATTCTTCCCGACATTCATATTGTTTTATCTTTTGCCTGTGGAAGCCATTTGGTTTGTCTGTGGTATCCTTTTGACACACTTTTAGTAATTTTTGATAATGCCTTAGACTTATATATGACAAGTTGACCCTATCCCCAGGGAACCCTGATGCGAAATAGTAATTAGGGACCACAATCTGGGTGCCAAGAAGTACTCATTGCTACTCAGTTGTCATGTTTCTAAGAATTCTTTTCAGTTGTCAGATATAAGAAATATGTGTCTTTTAGAAAAAATGAAAAAATCATGAGTTCATACTGATATTTCAAACTTAGTTTAAAGATTAAAGGGTTTTTATAGATCTTCTTTGATTTGTGTGTTTATATATTTTGCATATCTTTTATGCTGAGCATCTTGGTTTTTAGTAAATTAGCATAATTATTTGCTTTATATGGTTTTTTTCAAATAGTTTTAAAATGGCAATACTATTTCTATTTTTATAAGATCAATGAATGTGGTTTAAAATTTTTGTGGTTTCTTTTTTTCCTAGGGCTGTACAGTTAAAATACTGTGTTTTGAAGTCAGAACAATTCTGTGTTATGCTGTCAAACTTGGTACACAAGTTTCTTTGTTTCAGGTTTTTCTTTTTTTTTCGAGACAAGGTCTCATTCTGGAGTGCAGTGGCACAGTCATCGCTTATTGCAGCCTCAAACTTCTGGCTCAAGTGATCCTTCTGCTTCATCCTTCTGAGTATCTAGGAGTATAGGCACATGCCACCACAACTGGCTAATTAAAAATTTTTTTTGTAGAAATGGGGTCTGCTGTTTTGCCCAGGCTGGTCTCAAACTCCTGGTCTCAAGATATCCTCCTGTCTTGGCCTCCCAAAGTGCTGGGACTATAGGAGAGAGCCACTGTGTTCGGCCCAGGTTTTCAATAATCATCTTATGTTCTCCTTATGTTCCGGGCTGCCTGCAGTAGTGGAAAGCTACTTTTTTAAAGTGATTATTACTGGCCTTTTCTTCCCTTCTCTTACCCTTTAAAAATAGTGACAAGATTCAGTCTTCCCACTTTATAGTTGAAGTAACTGACTTTTTTGAGGTTATATTTCTTATTAATGATAGAGATTGGTAGAGCTTTACTTTTAGAGGAATGGGTTTTTTCCTAATTGGGAATACTAATAAAATTTAAAATATATACCTAGATACAGCCTCATTGTACTGGTAATACTCGATTCAGGTAATTTTCAGATTGGCTCAGAGATGCATCAGCCAGCCCCCTTGTGCAGTTGCTGGGAGAAACTGTAATGGATTCTCTGCTGTTTCTTCTTAATTGAATTATGAGGGAAAACTCGAGAATCATGGGGGAGGGCTGTTATTCAGAAGCAGATCTTTTGAGGATGGGAGCCACTGTATGGCTCCCATTGCTCCTCCAAGAATAAGGAAAATTCAGGTAATATGTAGGGGAGTAGATGCCTTACTGAGCAAAACTTTTCCTCAAGTACAGTCCGTTGATAAGCCTTAGCTACCTACTCCAAGCTCTTCTTATTAGGTTTCTATAATCAATTATTACTAATTGTATGTGTGAATAGTTTTCATAATATAAAATTATAGTTAATGAATTTATCAATTTTTCCTGTTTCACTCTGGATAGACAAACTAATACCAGCAAAATATAAAATTCAAGTAATAAGAAAGGGAGAGTTAGGAAATTTATAAATAATTCTGCATTTACTTGTATGTTTATCCCTGTAGTTGTCTTGATTTCTACAAATTTCTACAAATCTCATATTACACACTTTTGGAATTATGTTCAGAATTAGGGGTAGGGAAGAGTAAAATAAAACTAGCTAACATCTATTGAATACAGAATAACAACCCTATGAGGAAGATTCTCTTATTAGCTCCATTTTAGAAATGAGGAAACCGAGGAATAGAGAAGTTAAATGTGACCGTCCACAGGTTTCACTGAATAGAATTATAACCTACTTTAAGAATGTATGCATGTTCTGCTGCTCTTGGCTTCTTAAATAATATTTTACAGTATTTCTTGTAAATGTTTTTGTAATGTTTGTTTTGTATTTTACAGCTAATAGCTGCTACACACACACACACACACACACACACACACACACACACACACACACTATTTTTTTTGAGAAAGAGTCTCACTATGTTGCCCAGGCTGGTCTCAAACTTGTGGGTTCGAGGGATCTTCCTGCCTTAGTCTCCGCTCAATAGCTGGGACTACAGGCATACACCGCCATGCCTGAATTTTTAAAAATAATATTTTATTACTAATGTAAAATATCATGTGGCTAGTTCCCCATTTCTCAAAATATTGTATCATGAAGTTTATTTTAGAGCTTTGGTTCTTAAGGAGAATATACTTAAAATGAAAGTATTTTTGGTCTTGTGTGTTGAAATGAGAATATAAATGTTCAGGCTTGCTATTCATTTTGTGGATGACTTGCTTTGTTTTGCCATTATACTGGGCTAAAATGTTAGTTATTCTATATATTTGGGCCCACAGTCAGCTTATATAAGATATATTGTTTTACTTGAAGAATGTTGAAAATAAGTATTTTTCTTTCTGGTAAGATTTAAATACATTCTGTCAATGGTTGACTTGTAGTTCGGAAATGAAAATTTAGAGAAATGCTTTTAACTTCTAAAGCATTAAGAGACTTCATTTCTTTATTTCTTTATTGCAGAAATGTAGACAACCAGTTTCCTGAGCAAGCTATTCCACCTGGATTTCCAGCATATCCTGCCTTTAGCCCACTGCAGATGCTGTGGTGGCAACAGATGTATGCTCAGCAGTATTACATGCAATAGTAAGTTCATCTAAGGGCATTTCTTTTAGTTCCTAACTGTGTTATTTGGTTTATTTTTTTAATCCTAAGTAAGTTGATTTTGCTATTTCATTTGATGATATATTTAATTGATTATTTAAAATTATTATGAGAAGAATTCACAAACATCTCTTTATTTTAAATTATTTGGCCAAAGGAAAAAGGATTCACCTCCAGTTCCCATCAACTGAATATGCTCTTGGCTCCTCCCTCTCTCCCCTGATTATGTTTAGCAGTATTCAGATGCTTTGTTTAACATATCATTTTATAAGTTCAAGAGGGTAAAACTTAGGAAGGTTTCACTGGAAGGCAGCAAATCTACACAAAGAGATAGGAAGTCAAATGAAAAAGGGAATAGACAGAACCATGTCAGGGAAGGGCCAATCTTAAGTAGAGCTCAGATGCGGCTAAATATGCTTACTAGACTCTGAGGATTGTAGTAAGTCTTGATTCTGGTGAGTGTGGAACAGTCTTAGCACTGAGTACAGTTTCTCAGCTTTCACTCTTCTGAACTTCCTAGGCATTCATTTAACATTGACTAGCTCTCTTTACTGTTTGTTCTCCTCTCCTTGATTCTGTGATTCTTTTATCTTCCTCATCTTTTTTGTCTTTCTTATCATTCTTTTTGTGCCTTTTTCCTTCTTCTAAATAATATTATAACATTCCTTGCTCAATTAAACATACATTTGTGTACTTACCATGTGCTTCTTGGCACTCCTAGTTGATAGAGAGGATTGGATTTAGTCCTGGGGCAGTTCCTTTGCATTTCTTTCTTCCATGGCCTTAGTTGTCAGCTTTTTGTGGATGACTCCCAATTCTTTATCTTCTGTGCTTCATCCTGCATCTCTGTTTAACTGTTGGAAGGTTTCTATAGGAAAATTAGCTTTTACCTGAAATCTAGTACATCTAAAGTTTGACTCCTCCATTCCCTTAAGTACCTTCACCTTCCTTACTTCTTTCTTTGTCAGTGATACTTTCTTCTTACCATCCAGGCTCTTAACCTTATTCAGCTTTGATTTTGACTTCTGTTATCCCCAAACCCAGTAACTTATGAAGATGAGTTAATAGAGCTGTCCTTCCCCTATATGCTACTTCCAATATTTTTCCCAGATCTTTTCTCATTTTAAACCCACTTTAGTTCAGTAGCTCTTTCTCCTTTTAGGTTCTTTACTACATTTCTTCATACTACTGCCAGGTTAAATTTCTTAACACATAATTAAGTCATTCATTCTCCATCACCTAGAATATTTGCTGGCTCTCTTGCCTATAGTGTGTGATCTATATCTTTATCCTTCTTCCAGATCTCTCCCCATAAATCTAACCTGCTTTATGAACCTTATGTCCCAATACTCTCTTCCATAAGCCCTTGGCTCCAGCCAGGACGTTTGTATATGTTGCTATGGTAATGGTTATTATTTGTTGACTTCTTTGTGCTGAGTACTCTGCTGGATGCTATATACCCCTTGTCTCATTTGTAAACCTCATGAAAACCATGTAAGACAATTGGACCTTGTTGTAGCTTGCTACTAAATCATATATCTTATGTATGTCATCTAACTTCTGAGCCTCAAATTCTCACCTTTAAGATAAAACAACTCACCTGTGTATCAGAATATCCATAAGGTAGAAAGTATTTTGTAAACTAAAAAGCCCTATATGGATACAAGGTATTAGTTTACTGGCTTAATGAGCATTTTGTAGCCAGGGAAACATTTATTTAATTTTTCTTTGCTATCCTGTTTAACTTTTTATTGTAGAAAAATTTAAACATATAATGAAATAGAATAGTAAAATGAATTCCTGTGTACCCATCATGCAGCTTCAACATTTGTTAATTCATGTCAATCTTATTCTACAACTTTCCCTTCCACTGGATAATTTAAAGCAAATCTAAGACATATTATCATTTTATTTGGAAATTTATTCTGACTTTTAATCAATCAAATTATAAACAAACTTCAGGACTACAATTCTTTGTAAGTTGACAAGGACCAGTGGTCTGCAGTTGGAATTCTCAAAAATCAGGATTGGGATTGAGGGACTGTTACCTGAGATGTATTAATACAAATAATTTATCACTGACAGTAGATACAAAGGGTAATAATATATATTTTTAGATAAATTTTTCAAAACATGGATCTGAGGGAGAGGTGGTGGGCTTGGGAGTTTTCATTCCATGTAGAATAACAAAAGGGGCCATTAATGAAAAGGTTTGGACATACTTGTCCTTAGCTTGTAAGGTAATTTAGTGACAGAGAGAAAAGAGTGATTACCATGACTGCTCTTGTCTATTCCACCTTCTCCTCCCATTTTAGACCACCAGGCTAAGAGCATCCTTTCCTGAGCCACTTCTACCATCACTCTTGGCTCTGCTTTTCTAACGGAATTTGTGCTTATCTAAGAAATATGGTACAGGAGTTGTGATATTCCATATTAGTTTTATGAAAAATACATTCAGCTCCCAGGAATTATGAAAAAATACAGTATGATAAAATTTGTTTTCTTTTTAATATTTATTTTGGTGAATGTTTCAGTCAAGCCGCAGTTTCAGCTCAGGCCACATCAAATGCCAACTCAGCCCAGCCTACTGCTTCACAGCCTTTAAATTTGGCACATGTTCCTGGAGAAGAACCCCCACCAGCTCCAAACCTAGTGGCCCAAGAAAATCGACCCATGAATGAGAATGTTCAAATGAATGCACAGGGAGGTCCAGTGCTAAATGACGAAGACTTCAACCGAGACTGGCTAGACTGGATGTACACGTTCTCACGAGCTGCAATTCTCCTCAGCATTGTGTACTTCTATTCTTCTTTTAGTCGGTTTATCATGGTAATGGGAGCCATGCTACTGGTTTATTTGTGAGTGATGTTCATTAACTTTTTGTGGTTTCTTTTAACTACTTCCTGAAATTGTTAGCACAGAATCTGGCACAGGTAGTCAGTTGTGAATGTTGAATGAAGGAATATGAATGCTGGGCTTCTAGGCTTCAGATACCTGGCATGTTTCTGATACCAAAAGCTAGGGCAGGTTATGTTGAGTAAGAATGTATATCATCATTGTTTAGAAGTAAATATTTTGTTTACTGTATTTCATAAAAATTTTAATTCAATGAGATATGCTCTATCAATTACTTAAAACTTTAAGCAACATGCAGTGCACTCCTGCATAAGGATATCCTTCTAAATTAAAATTACCAGTACTATTTCCTGTAGGTATAAGTCATATTTTTTCGTAAGTAGACTAATTTTCCCTTGCTCCCTTCTCCCAAGGGCAAACAAATATTTTGTATTTTATTTTTGAAAAATACCAAACAGTATTTTAGGACTCTTGTTATGTGTTAATGTCTAACATAGAGGGAGTCAAGCCTATGATAGACTTACCGATTTGAATTGGTTTTTGTTTTGCTGTCATTGCTTTTTTTTTTTTTTTAAGAGACAAGGTGTCACTCTGTCACCAGGCTGGAGTACAGTGGTGTGACCACAGCTCACTGCAGCCTCCAACTCCTCCTGGGCTCCATCATGGCTTTGAAAAGGGTAGTTCCCTGGCCTGAAGTGACAAGCTTTTTTTTTTTTTTTTTTAGTTGTAATCATTTTTCTCTTGTAGGACACTGATGTTTTATAGTGTTACAAATAAAAATAATTGTGACTTGGTTTCTTTACTCTTTATTTTACTGAAAAGGCACCAAGCTGGATGGTTTCCTTTTAGGCAAGAAGGAGGTCAGCAACAAGCTCCCAACAATGCCAGAGTTAACAATGATGGGCAGAATGCACACAATCTAGAACTTGAAGAAATGGTATGTTGTTATAGAGGCTTTTGTATACTTTAAATATATTAATAGATATTTCCTCAGCACTATATGGGACCAACATGATAAAAGAATCTTGGATATTCCATAACTATTTGTGAAATGACACATGGAGAAAAGCTAACATACAAACTGTGGTGGTTTCATCTGGTAGAATTTAGAATATAATAGTGAATCAGCCATATATTAGAACTAAATGGGAAGAAGTAATATTTTTCCTGAAAATAGCCTAGAAAGAAAATTATGCACATGGTGAGAGTCTTGTATTACATTGGCAGTTGTCCCCTTTAAACTTGAACACCAAGGAATTTATTAACTTTGGACTTAAAGATTTCTAATGACCACATATATACCACTTCCTTATTACATGCTTATATTCCTTTGTTCTACAGTGAAGAACTTAACTGTCTTCTTTGCTATTCTGAGTTAATACTAGTAGTTGAAATCACTCAGGAGTATGTTTCTTGTTTTGTTTGGAAGGAGCATCTTATGGATGATGGGCTTGAAGATGAGAGTGGAGAAGATACAAGTGAAGATGCCAGTGCAATTCAAAGGCCTGGATTGATGGCTTCCGCTTGGTCTTTCATCACCACCTTCTTTACTTCACTAATACCAGAGGGGCCTCCCCAGGTTGCCAATTAGACCTGAAAAACTGTGCCACCTATATAGAAGGGTCTGACTTTAGGAAAGTGGTTTTAAATAACAGTGCAATTTCAAAAAAATTTATAACTTTCTTTTGATCATCATGTACAGAGGTGTTTTTTTCTTTAAGCTTCTCATGCATATGAATATTTTAAGCACAAATGGACTACTAAATGTGTGATTTTTTTTTAAGATCCTAACAGAACATAGCGTAACAATATTGGTCTTCCAGATGTTATTCATTTCAATTATGTATAGTAAACCAAGACCGACCTGTTTGTGCGTATTATTTCTTTAAAGAGCTGCTTTACATATAAATGTCTATAGTTAGTAGCCTAGCCCTTCAATGTGTAATTTGAATAAATATATCTATTTTCTGTGAATTATTCTGAAAGTTTTAAACAGAATGAACTCATAGTTTTTAATAAAGAATATTATTTACCTAAAATGTGCTAGTAGCATCTTGCCCAGCCATAAAGCAATAAACTTCTCAGTAATCCTAATTTTGACATTTGAAAAAATAATGGAAACTTTCTATTTTAAGGGCATGTATCCCATCAATTGGAATTAGTACCTTAAAGAAAAAAGGCAGCTCTTCAATGGAATTAATAGTGATACAAAACGTTTGATACAGGCAGTACTTTTATAAAATAAGATATGCTGGAAATTGCTCCCTGTAATTTTTTAAATAAAAAGTCAATTATGGTAAACAGTCTTTTGGGATATTTGTTCAAGCTCACCAGTAATGTACCCATTACATGCAAAAATCTATGTAAATTTCAGTAGTTGTTTGGAAGGATTGGTGAAGTCTTAAAAGTCATCTTTGCCTCTTTCCATTCCCAATGGATATCTCCTAGTTATTAAGTAGTCTGAAACCTCAGTAATTTATTTAAAAATCCTTGTGAAAGCCAACTTAATATTTCATAAAAATGGAGTAGATTTCTTACAGAGTAGCTAACTAAAATCAAACAAATGTGGAAGGGAGAACTTTATCTCACATGAAATGAATTATAAAATTATGAGTATGGTACTAGCATAGAATTATATGATTTAGATAACAGACTAGAAGATCCATGAATTTTTCTCTACCTTGTTTACTTATAATGATAAATGATAAAGGTGACAGTTCCAGGGATAACTGGTTAACCCTTTGAAAAAGAAGTCAGGTTTTTATTTATAGATGTCAATTAAGACACTGAATGTGAGCAATCAAACCTTGGAAATACTATGAGAAAATATAGGCGAATACATCTATAATATTGGTGTGAGAAAAATACCTTTATGGCAAACCTCTAAAAGAATACTACTATGTATATATTGTCTTGACATATATGATTTAAAGGCAAACAATTAGGAAGAAAGAAAATGTAATAAATGAAGTCTTAGGTTCAGTCTAGTAAAAAAAAAAAAATAATAAGTACTCCAATAGGAAATGGGCAATAAATATGGGGGAAAAAGTAGTATGTAGTCATTAAAACTTTCAAATTGGTAAAATGATGCTCACAGTGTTGGTGAAGCTATAGGGGAATGTAAAATAGTATATAGTCTTTCCAGCAAGTATGAAAAATTTTAAATGTGCACAGAATCATTCCGTGTCATCCTGTTTTTCCTAGAATAAAGATCAGATTAGTTGAACATGGCTTTACAAAGTCCTGAAAGGTCCGGCATAGGCCTCCTGTCAGTCTGAGTTCCCTCTTAATGCCGCCTCTGTTTTAGTTAGGCTGCTCTTCGAGTTCCCGCACACTCTTCTTCCATCCCTAGGACTTTTTAAATTGCTGTTCTTTTTGCTAGGAACACCAACGGTTCTTTTCTTCTTTGCCTCAGTAACACTAATCATTTATATCTCAGTATAATTCCAGTTCCTTAGGGGAGCTTTTCCTTGGAAGCAGAATTTACTTCACATTTTACACTGCTCAGTTTATATTTATTTACCTATTTGTCTCACCCACAATATATAAGGGCTATGAGGTTGGAGAGTGCCTGGTATTTAGTGCAGTTCTGAATCAGCACATACCCTTTCAACCGGCAAAAGTTTGAAAAGATATCACCCATGTGTGGAATTTAGCTTTCAACATGTTCATTGCATTGTTTATAATAGGAAAAAAAAAATGAACTGGCAGATGTCCAACAGAGTGATCTATGGTACATTTGAACACTTGGGGTCGTGATTAGGGATGGCTTGTTTCAGGGATGGTGCAATCATTGCATCCAGATAGAGGGTCTGGGTTTTAACCTGGGCGCTAAATAAATCAACTGTCAAAGCTGGCAGAATTGCTTCATGTGCAGGTCCTAAAGCAGAGGAAGAAGAATGCAGAGATGATTGTGAGATTGCTCCGTCTTAGTCTTATTTCTGTTGGGGGATAGAGGGAGGAAAATTGGAGCTATAGAATTTATAGAGCTGGGCAGCATTGTAGGGGACAACCCTCTGGAGGAGATGAGCAGGTCCCTGCTTCTCAGCTGTAGGCTGAGGCTAAGGAGAAAGATATCTACTAGACTTGGTGGATAAACCCCGGAGGCCCTAGTCTAGGGTACCAGTTTCATGAGTCTTCTTGCCAAAGCTGACTTCCTTGATCCTACTGCTAAATTCTCTGTCTCTACCTCCATTTGATCTGCTTTCCAAAATGAGCATACCAAGGCCTGCACAAACTATTTCCTATGGTGCAGTAAGCCGTTTCACCCAGCGTTCCAAAGCCATAGGATGAGCAAGTGGGAAAAATTAAGACCTGTGTAGGGTCTTTACCAGTTACCACCCCTCACAGGGTGCTTAGGAGTAAAGGTGTTGTTGCGCCTTTCTTTCCAATTACATAATGATACAAAATTATCAATTATGCTTTAGAAATTATTACTAAAGTTTGAACATTTGCCATATTCCTGGCACTGTGCTAAATGCAATACTTGCATTTCAAAGAATCCTTAAAACAACTCAAGGTAGGTACCACTTGTTACTTCTGTTTTCCAGTTGAGGATACCAAGACTTAAAGAGGTTAAATAGCTGGCCTAAAGTTACACAATTAGTAAGTAACAGAATCAAGATTTGGACCCATGTCTATTCTACCCTAGACTTTGAACCCTTTAAAATTAATTATACAAATAAGGCATGCAGGGAGTTCAGCCTTGAACATAGAGTGATGACTTGTATTGCACCAACCCTTCTGCTGAGGAAACTAGAAAATCCAGAATATACGTATCTATTAAGCCATCAGAAAATGACCCAGAAAGCAAGGGCTAATATTCCAGAGAAGTGAAACATGCATTTGGTACCATTTTTCCCCCTCAAGGGATGTGCTAATTCAAAGGCAGTGGCTGAGAAGCTAGGCAGAATTTTTAGAAGACTTACTGGGAACAAAAATTAGGGTTCAGGATCCAAGTAGAAGTGGCCCTTGTAAGCACCCCAGGCTTTCTACTGGGACCCAAAAGGGCTACTCCTTGAGTAAAAGAGAACTACATATAGACCTGCCCATGCAAGGACTGAAGCCCAGCCTCAATTGTAGTAGACGGCCAGGAACAAACACAAATCCTCTCTGAAGGAAGAGAACACCATTCAATTTCTCAAATTTTCTCTATGATATCATTCAAAATCTGTTAAAACAAAACAAAACAACTAAGAATGCAAAAAAAAAAATCCCACAAAATTTGACTAAATATGAGAAAGTAAGAAAAAGACTTCCAGGAAATTCAAATATTTAGCATTATCTGACAGGGACCTGACAATAACTATAAATTAAAATGTTCAAGGAATAAATGACCAGATGGAGAAATTTTAGCAGAGAACTGGTAACTATATAAAAAAGGAAATTTTAGAATTGAAAAATGATACGACTGAATTTAAGCATGTGTGGCTTTGATGGACACAGCTTAGAGAGAGTTAGTGAACTGAAAGATCAGAGAATATCCAGACTGTCGCTGGGGTGAAAAGGGCAGACATAATATTTGAAGAGTTAATGGCTAAGGATTTTTCCAGATTGATGAAAAGCCATCAAGCCACATATGTAAGAAATGCTATTGACTTCTAAACAGGATAAATTACAGAGGAAATCACACCTTGTATACTATTACTTCATAGTAAAACTGCTGAAAAACAGATTTTTAAAGTAGCCAGAGGAAAATATAGATTACTTTCAAAGGAGGATAGGATCCTTATAGGGGATTTCTCAGCAAAAGTAATGACAGAAGTCAATGGATGATATTTTCAAAGTGGCTATTTTCAAAGAAAATAGCCAATCTGAAGACTATATGAGGCAAAAGAAAAAAGACACTTTCATACAATTGAAAACAAGATTTTCCACCACTGGAAAGTACTAAAGGAAAGTATTAAACAATGTTCTTAAGTAAAAGGAAAATGATCGTCTATCACAGCTTAGAGGTATAGAAAGGAGAGTATAAAACTAAATGCATGTTGACTGTATAAAACAATTTTATACTTTATGGGGTCTTAAATATATAAAGAACTGAAATACATGACAAAAAAAGTATATAAGTCTGGACAGAGGCAAATAGAATTAAAATATTCTGAAGTCCTTGAACTGTCTTGGAAGTTAAAATGGTGATTTACATTTCCTGAGTTACTGATTTACATGAAAAATTAATAAAGCAGCAGTGTATGTTTCAATTTCTATGGTATTTTCTAAAAGAATATAAAACTATTGATAATAAAAGGGAAATATAAAATAATAAAATAATCCAAAAGAGGGCAAGAAAGGAGAAAAAGCATAGAACCGACGAGAAGAAACAGAATACAAACAAATGTACCAACATCTACATCAAGCATACATGGGCTAACTATTCCAATTTAAAGACAATGTTGTCAACCTGGATAAAGAACAAAACCTAATTCTCTAAGACTTAAAAACAGCACACCTTAAATATAAGGACACAGAAAGGTTGAAAGTTGAAAAAGATGGAAAAGACCTGTCACGCAAGTAATTAACCAAGAAGCTTCTGTATTTAGCACACAAAATAGGCAGGTAAGAAGCATTACTAGAGTAAGAGGGATAATTTATAATGATAAAAGTTTTACTTTGCCAGGAATATGAAGCTTGCTGAAGTATTTGAGCTGTCTATGAGTCTCAGACAAGTTGTCCATGGCCCAACCTCACCTTGGTAATGGCCCAGGAAGCTAACTCAGGGTTGGAGCAGGTGAAGAGGAATCTAAGTATATGAAGATGTATATGAAGGTGTGTGTGTGTGTGTGTGTGTGTGTGTGTGTGTAAAACATGGGAGGCGGAGTGTATATACTATTCAAAAGGACAAGAAATGTAACATTTTCTTTTATAAATCAAATAAAAGCTGACTCTGAGCCTCCCCCCATCCCTGTTATTTTTGGGTCAAGATCACTAAGAAATGTTATTAATGATAGTTTATGCTTGTCAAATGCATACTGTTTGTTCTAAGTGCTTTGAAGGTATTTAAGCCTCACGCTAAATAGCCCTAGAATGTAGGTATCGTTATTACCATTTCTATTTTATAGATGACAAAGGCAGCAACTGTCAAAGCTGCTTTTCAAAATAGGGCAGTCTGGTGCCAGAACCCCTGCTCCTAACCACAGAGCCAGCTATGGATTTTAAAGTTTGTACAACTTTTTAGATAAACATAATACCTGTCATGAACTGTCCCTTCAATTTTTTTTTTTTTTTGTAGACAGGATCTTGCTCTGTTGCCCAGGCTGGAGTGTAGTTACATCATCAGCTCTCTGCAACCTCAAACTCCTGGGCT